AGCCCAGCGCGGCCCCTTGCTGCTCAGCCGGGCTGCACGCTGTCCGCCCGGCCACACTCCTTATTCCACGAGTAAGGCTGAAACCGGCCAACCAAATTTTCCAAGCGTAAATCCTTAGCCGGCTGGAAATCGCAGGCTTCCTCCCCGGGACGCCGTAAGTGCATCACAAGTGCTGAGCCTGTCTTTTAAGGCTACGTTCCTCCTCTTGCCCCATGAAATGGCTTAGCAAGATGCATGCCCCTTTCTTAGATACCCCTCAGAGTTTCTCTTTGGTAATTTTCCACTTACTGATTTATAGAGCTTCTAAAAACCTAGTCAGATTTGACCTGCAGCAATTAAGTCATGGATGTCAAGCAGCAGAAGGGCGACTCATTATTACTTCCTTGTTCTACTCTTTGCTGAACATAAAAACCATCTCTGTCTCTTCCTCATTTTATAAACACGTAATTGCCTGGTCATTTTCCTTTCAAACCCACGTTACACCAATAGGTAAGCTAAGGAGGCTGAAGTTTGGAGCTACACTCTGGCCTTCCAAAGCTCCCTGATGGTTCAGAAAATAAGCAAGTCGATCTAAATTTCATTACTCTCCTTCCCTTCCCTAATAGAAAACATAGGGACTCAGGGCTGCGTTTACAGAGCCAAATAATTTGTTTCACATCATGATTTAAAGTTGCTTTCCCCAGAGGACACAATGTAGAAGTTCAAATAACCAGGAAGAGAAAAAAAATCTATGCTCCAACGAGTAGTGTCTGAACACTGCTTGTTTTATTCTAGAGCACCAAAAAGCAACTTCACCACAGTTCTGTCTGGCTGCACAATCCATTGTAACTGTTTGAAACAAAATGTGCCACCAAAACTTTGACTACTGCCTGTTGGTTGGAGGAGAAGGCATTAAATTGCAGAGCTCTGTTTCTCAGGCAGCAGCCCTTCAGGAGTATTTGTAGTGCAAGCAGATACAGCCTGTATATTCGTTTGCACTTCCCAGAGATGACAAGAATTTTATAGGCTTTGTCAGCCTCACCTTCACGTTGGGATATAGGGATCTATATCTACGGTAGTAGTTTAACTGCTGAGAAACATTCAGCCACTGGTTGGATATATCAACTGTAACCCGTTCTTCCTCCTGTAGAAACTGAAATTACTCAGGGCTAGGATAAGTGATAGCCAGCATGCTGCAGCTTGGAAATGAGGCTGTCTCTGTAATGTTTTCCAAAGCTCGCCAGTGAATTTGGAACATCTCCGACTTCAGAGGAACCTAGATGTTCTTGAAGATCATGCCATATCCTGGTAGTTACTTGTGTTTGAGAGAACTTTGACAATGCAAGCATGCAGAGCTCTGAGCAGGATCTGGCCCTTTGGATCTTTCTGGAAGGGTGTACCAAAGCAGGTGCACAGTTAAAGCCATAATCCTGGGCACATCAGCTTCCCAACAAGAAATATCAATTAAAGGTGAAACTGAGATAGTTACTATAGAAATAAATGTGATAGCATCAGCTCAGTGAGATAAAAATGGTTTGTGACGTAGGGGAAATGGCAGCTTGGTAGAGAACTGCACAGTGAATTACGTGGAAGCTGTGCAGCGTGGACAAATGAAGTTATTGCTGGTTTTAATTCCATTTATTATTTTAAATATCAAAACCACTGAGCATACTAGCCCGGTGTTCACTTGATATCACACAGTCGGGTACTTCTCTTCCAAATCAAGCCGAAGTTGGGGGAAGGTGTTGAGCAAATGTTGTGAAAGGCCAGTAAAACCTTGTGAATTGTGTTTCGAAGCTTCAGTCAAATCAGAAGGTTACATGCTCAGGAGTGACTTCAAAAATAATGGCAAGGCTCTGTTCACTGACGAGTCCGGGTCCAGGTCCAGCTGGCTCAGCCAGCCCATCACACTTCTTCTTCCTAATAAACAGTATGGCGTATTGGTTTAATTAGTTTCTGCACCTCTTCTGTGTATAGACTCTGTTGTTGACAATGCAACTTAGCAAACAGCAGTGGTTTTGCACCAGGCAGAATTGACTCCAGCTCATTCACCCGTAACTTGTTTGTTCTGCAAGTGCAAAGATGAAAGCGGAGCTATTTGTGCCACCAAGAGACCAGATGTGATGCCATCCCCCGCAGTAAATCTAGAGAATGGGTGGTCTGCTCTGCTTTCACAATGTCACGCAGGGCTTAGGGGTTCAGATCCCTCTTGAGTTGCAGCTTCTAGTGTGAAACTGTTCCAAAATTCAGAAATTCAGTTCTTCTTTCCTGCTGCTCTGACACAAAATGAATGGTATTAGCTGTTGCCCTGTGAAATGAGAATTTCTGGTATTTTTGTCTTGTATTTCAGGAGATTTCACAGCACGTGCGAGAGTTGCTGGGGACTGAGGAGCCTCTCTTCAACAGATCCATTGCCCTCCCATACAGGGACAACATGGGTCTCTTCCTGGAGCGAAAGTCCCAGTCAGGAAAGAAAGCAGATGCCCTCACTTTCGCACAGTTTATCCGAGAAGCAGGATTGGAGGCCTATACTACAGTTCCTCCTTTGCAACAAGCCCAGGCTGGGGTAGAAGCGGATGCTCTCCCCAAATCGCAGGGCATCCAGAGGCGGGATTAGGCTCACTGTATTTACACCTTTGTTGTACCACCTCTGCTTCAGAGTTGATTAAAAAGACCAAAAAACAACTGCAGACATATTTTAATTACCGGTGATTGATGGCAACTTCCCTGCAGCTCAAGTGTTCTCCCTGGCTTTAGTGACTGCAGACTGGGCTCACTGTAAAGCCCAGATGTAAGCTAAATGGCATATGCAGTGAGCAGTGTAGAGGCACGGTGCCAGATGCTGTTGGCAATCGTAATTAAGTGGGGGGCCTGGCTAAACAACACACCCAGCTAATCCCTGCCCTCGCCAGAGAAATGATCTCCTGTGAGGGAAAACCAGGCAGCGGTTTATCATAGAAAACAGTAGTGAAACAAAATACATGAGGGCAGGAAGTGTAAGAGAATACTGTCAGCTGAACTAGAGAATTTAGGGAATGAAAAATGCTTTGTTCTGGGTGGATTTGGACAGCAAATCCTTTTTACCTCCTTTTTCCTTGAGAGAAGTATCACATAGTCTGTGGTGGTGTGCACTATCACCAGCTAGGAAGCAAGAATAAGTGCTGCTTAACGCCTGGCTCAACAGAAAGAGTGCCCCTAACTGAATCATTACTATTTTGTCTGGCATCAATGGCTTCCTCAAAATTCCCCAGGGAAAAATAAAAAACCCTTACGATTCGACCCCGTCGTGCTTAGTTATTTACGCCAAAGCTGTAACCACTACGGCATAACTGTAATTTGGTTCTGTAATTCAGTTTTCGATGGAAACTGCAATAGAAACCCGGTGGAACTGAAGCAGTCTGTAGGCCAAGATGAGTATGTAATAAGCAAATTCAGACTAAAATAAAAGCAAGACTCAGGCAGCCAGGGAGAAGCACATTAGCTGAGTGGTCTAGAGAGTGAAACCTGTAGCAGCAAATGTGTGCGTAGGGTTATTGGCTGGAGTAGTTTAAAGAGTCCAAGAGCAAACAGTGCTGGTTCTTGCAGCCCTCAGTCCCATGAGGGGGCTGGGATGAGACCTCAGCATAGTATTCTGCCATGGGCTTCCTTTGAGTTTAGGACAATTTATAATCAGTCAGCAGTTTCCTCGGGAATTCCTGAGAAAATGTTGGAGGCAGCTGTGGAGAACGGAGACTTGTCATCCAGCGTCGCAGCAGGCTCCGCTACAGCTGAAGTAAAAGCTGTCTTGGTGCTGATCAGCCCACGTTGCTTTGTAGCCCAGTCTCCTGAGGATGCCTGGTGTAGCAGAGCAAGGCGGCACCGGACAAGCTCACTCTTTTCTAGCAGCTGGCTACAGGGAGACTCTCAGTTGTGCAGCTGTCAGGTCAAACCAGGGGAACATTCTGGGAAAAGAAAACAAGTGGAAACGTGTATGGATAATAACAGTCTGAAGCAGCTTGCTAATAATTTAATAAAGAATGGATTTCTTCAGTGTCTGACTACGAGTCTATTTCTTGGATCTTTGAGAAACAGACTTGGAGACTTGAATCTGAAGTGCTCCAGGCATTACTCTGCCACGCAGAGCAAACTGAGCCTAACGGCCCTGGACACAAGCAGGAGTCCTTTCCTTCCAGCACTGTTCCTCTGACTTAACATCCTCAGTAGTCTAGTCCATAAACCACCCTAAGTTTGTTACCCATAAGAACTGTCCTCTAAACTTTCCCATAGGAATTTCTTTTCCTGCATCCAGTGCCCAGTCCTGCTCAGTGGTTTTAGGGAACCCTGATAAGCAGCTGAACAGGAACCATGGACAAAATAACAGGGGGATGACAGTCCAGGTTTTTTGTTGCTGATCAGCTATGGCAATCTTCCCTGTCAGGTGCCTAGTCCTAAGGGCAACACACAGTTCAGCATCTTCCCACCCACCAGGACAGTCACGCCTGAGTTTGGACGGTGTTCTTGCTCAGGAAGGTATCTTGGCTCCTGCTCACCGATTCAGCCTCAGAGCTACTCTTGTGGCACAAAGGGAAACGGTAGCTCTTGCCGAGCTGGCGGCAGGTCCATGGAAAGCAGTTCTCCCGAAAGAAGGGGTGAGCCCCGGGGCGCTCATCAGAGAAACTGGCGAAGGAGACACACACGGCGTCATTTTGCCCATCCATTTCTTGTGCATGACTGTCCCCTTCCACGCATGGATTTCCACTCCAGCTTTAGCTGGGTTTCCCTGGGAGGGCTTTCTTCCCAAAACAGCACTCCCAGCTAACACCATCACCGCCGGCCCAGCCTGGAATTGCACGAGCAGGGGAACCGCCGAGGGCAACTGTCCCCAACTGCTGCCCGGTTCAGGCAGCAAGAGCCGCTCCCTCGGGCTCTGCTGGGGCCCAATGCCTGCTCAGCAGCCAGGGCCGGCCGCTCGGCCCCCGCTCTCCCAGCCCAAGGCGAGCCCTGGCACTGCGGTGGCGGAGCTGCTTCCACCAGGGAGCGGAGGCAGCCGAAATGAGCTGAGGGGGAGGATGCTCCAGCCCGGGCGCAGCGGTTGCCGCATGACACGGGCGGGGTTTTAAGGAAGGGAACCTCGGAAGGAGCCACCGGGAATATCCCACTGCACCATCCGAGGTTGAGTCAACAGCTGCTGGGATTCATCCCATTAACGTTTCTTACGACGACTCCTTTCTGACAGCGGTCTTAGCCAGCAAGAAAGGCTCTTCCTACCTGATGGATGCTCTCTGCCTTGTCTTCAAGTTAATCCAGGGGCCTTAACACTGCCAGTGGAGAGATGGCCACAGTAGGGTTGTTAATTTTGCCAGGTAATGGTCTGTTTAAAAAAAAGGGGTGTGTGTGTGTAAAAATCAACCCAGTACACATAGCTCATACCACAACGGCAGTGGCACAGGAACATGTCAAGGTCCAGGGCCCTCCCCACTGCAGTCAGAATCCTTCAAGCAAGGTCTCAGCTATCTTTTCCTCTCCTCTTCCCTCTCCAGCTGGATCCCCACTACTTGCCTGCCCTCCCTCAGCCCTGCAATCGGCAGCCAGCATCACCCAGGTTTAGCAGGTAAGGAGGCAGAAGCAGTCATCCTTTGTGGGATCTCTAAACCTCCACCAGTGAAGAGCCTCGCACACAGCAGGAAGAGCAGCGTCACGTTAGGCCCTCACCTCAGCAGGAGGCCAGGACTGGCGTGACCGCAGGGGCTGGGCACCCCGGGGGTCAGGAGCAGGGGGTACAGGTCATACCCCGCACTCAAAGCCCTCGGGCGAGCTACGGCGGCACACGATGCGCTGGCTTTGCTGTTTTGATGGCGAAGACTGCAGGCTGCTTCTTTGCACCGTGTTCCCTGCGCCACCTCCCAACAGGCTACCTTGCAGCAACAACCCGAGGCCCTGGCAGGAGCAGGGTTTCAATGCCAGCATTGTGGGCCATCCAGAGCTCCCTTGACTCCTTTGGATCATGTTTTCCGGTTTATAGCCACAAAGTCCACAACTTCTTGTAGACAGACAGGAAGCTGAGCCTCTGAAGCCCCGTGATTCCAGCAGCTGGGGACTTGGGGAAGTGACAACGGAGACAAGGTTCGCAGTGAAGTTTCACAATGACATTGTGCGCGCTGTGCTTGCCCCCTGAGGTCCCAAACCACAGCAGCACGTGCAGGCTCTGAAGCCACGCGTCCCGTTTTGCCTGCCCGAAGTGGCATGGAGGGGCTTTGCCTGCTGCCCACCCCCGTTCCTACATGGCAGAGGGCAGGAGCAGAGTGACACGAAGCAGGCAGCCTCTCTGCCAGGAATAAACACGCCGAGAGCTCAGCTGCCTCAGCTCCGGCCTCGGTTCACGCAGGCTGATTTAAAGCCTCTTGCTGAAACAGCCGAGCCACGGGAATCTGGCTAGTTTTCAGTATCTATAAAAAGCCATTTAATAATCCCTGCTTCCTCTCTGCCCTGGGATGATTAGAAAACGGATTTCATTGTTCCAAGCATCTCCCTGGAGGACCGTTCTCCCCACTTGTCGGGGCAGTTGACAGTTTGTATGCGAACAGTTGCTGCAGGCTGATCTCCTCTCCTGGCTGGGCATTCAGAGCCCAGCGAGAAGCTTGTCTGCTATAACTGACCCTGCAGCCATGAAACAAGGAGAGGGGCATCTTCGTTTCAGCACTGCTGCTCTACTGGGAAGATGTTTTCTCTGTTGGGGGAATATTTAACAACCTGGAGTGTCAGTCACCCACCAGGCTCTTGGCAAAGGACAAAGAGAACTTTGAAGAGCCACAGAAATGGGGGGGGGACTAAATGAAAACGAGCCTTAAAGCAGCCAGTCGTTAACAAACAGGGTTAATGTCTCCACCACACTCAGACGCGACTGGTACAAAAAAGCAAACTACTGAAGTAATGTCTGGCAGACAGTGGGTTTCCAACCCAATAAAGATCTTTTCTGCAACAGCATCCTCTGCTTCCCAATAAAAAAGCGGGAGTTTCCATACCTTCAATATTCTTTGGCAGAAAAGCATTATTGAGTGAGTTCTGCCTGAAGCACTATGAAAAAAGTGCAGTCAGAAGTCCACGTAAGTGCAGTTCCAGGCCCACGCTGGGGAGCGTTCACCCAGGCTCTCACAGCGCCTGGTGGAAACACGGATACCAGAGCGTGGAGCGCGGAGCCATTCTCCGGCCAGCTGCTTCCCAAGGTGGCTCCCACCAATAATCCCAACCCTCAGACTGTGGCTGTCCCCCAAGGAAGTCAGCAAACCCTTCTCCATCTCGCTCTCCCTGGAGAAGCAGGGAAGCTGGCATCAGCCCAGCATGAGCCACAGTTTCCCCAGACCACCCTTCCAGGAAGGGTGCCATGCCACGTGTCTGGATAGCACATACCAAGCCCACTCCTTGCATCCAGCCCAACTCACTGCTCTCCAATGGGATTGCCAGAGAGGCAGAGGCTGGTGTCTGCAGCCTGGAAAGCACAGCATCTGTGGGGCTTGGGGGTAGACCCTGGGAGCACGGTGCCCCCGTGCCAAAACACACCACCCATGCCGAGGCTAACGCCGCTAGCCGTGAAGTGGCTCCACAATTACGGGACAATGCCTGGCAGACACATCAACCCACGCGATGGCCGAGCTCAGGGACAAGCCAGCACGAGGAGCAGAGACTAGAGACAGCAGAGGCGGCTGCCAAAAGGGGATGTGGGACAGCGCATGCTGGTGGAGGACAACCGGCTCACTATAAATCATACAGACTAGTGGCAGGAACAAATCACTGGCATTGGGCACTACGAAGTTTCTGGGATGAAACACCAATTTGGTGCTAGGAACAATCTTCATTCCCTGGTTTTCTCAGGGGAAAACGAGTCCAAGTGATTTAAGACTGACTGACAGTGAGCTTATACAAATGCAGATGTCCAGTGACCAACAAGCGTGGGTTCAAATAGTGAGTTTTTAACCATCAGAACCAGATATAAAGGTAACAAACTGTGGCACTGTGTAGGAACACCTATGTAATGCTTAACTTCATACAGTGCTGGTGTGAACCACGCCAGAAACTCTCTAGAGACCAGCCACCTTCCCCTGTCCTCCCAGTGACACAGTCACGCTGTTCAGACCAACACCAGAATGACCAGTGATGTGCCTGTGCCACACTTCAGCTCAGTAAAGCTGCAGCAGTTTGGGAAGAGCTTGGCACATCCAGGTTTCTCCCCGACATGACTATGCCACCCAGCCAGCACATTTTACTGACAGCGAGAAGCTCACGTCTCCTGTTGCTCCCCAACGTAAATCCCAAGCAGTGACACCGTTCCAACTCCTGCAACCAAGCAACACCCTGGCCTGGGGCATGTGGGAGAGCCGGGCAGCAGACCTTACCCAAGCCAACAGCATCATCCTGGGTTGCCTTAGGATGAACGCTCCCCACATGTTAAGAAAGGTGATCCTTCTGCTCTAAATCCCAAGTGCCATGTCCAGTTCTGGGCTCCTCTGTACAAAAGAGACATGGACACACTGGAGAGAGTCCAGCAAAGGTCCACTAAGATGACTAAGGGACTGGAGCATCTCATTTACGAGGAGAGGCAGAGAGCTAGGACTGTTCAACCTGGAGCAAGCTCAGGGGGGATCTTATCAATGTGTGTCTGATGAGAGGGAATGAAGGGACCTGGACTCCTCTGAGGTGCCCAGTGGCAAGAAGAGGCCACGGGCACAAACTGAAAGATCCATCTGAAAGCAGGAAAACACCTTTTAACTGTGAGGGTGGTCAAATTCAGGAACAGGTTGCCCAGAGCTGAGTTGCTTCCATCTACGGAGGTACCGAAAACCCAAACAGACACAGACCTGTTCTGCCTGTTCCAGGCAGCCCTGCTTGAGCAGGATCGGATTAGATGATCAGTAGGTCCCTTCCAACCTAAACGATCCCATGAGAAAAGAATCCCAAACACCAACAGAAAAACCACTGAGAGTGCAGGTACACCGCTATGTACAACCTTCATCTTCATGTGACCACCAAACCCTCCTGTAACACTAAAACGAATTTCTCTGGGCTGATGGCCCTGAAGGTGCGAAATGAGGTGCTGCTGCAAGCAAAGCCGCCCCACGGTGCCACGCGCTGTGCACCTCAGGACCTGCGGAAACACCCTGTGTACTCAGTGTGTGGGAGGTGTGATGAATTGCTCAGGATTAGCACGCAGAGTGACAAAGTGCTCAGTGTGGGAAGGAAATACAGCCCAAGGAGAAAGAGACAGCTTTATTTAAGGAATCAAAGTGAGGTCTGGAAGGAGGAAGCCAGCAGTTGCCTGAGGAGTTGTGTTTCTGAGAAAGTGCAATTCAATCCTTCCCGGCTTAATGCTCTCCAAGAAAAGAGCTGCTGGGGCCAGCAGGTTTGTGCCAACTGCGAGGGTTCCTTCCCTGCCCTCCATCCAACCCAGCAGGGCTCTGACCAGCTCCACACCAGATGCCTGTTCTTCCCTGACAAAGGGATCTTCCAAGAGCTGCAGAGTGCCAGCACCAGGGAACTGGCAGGGGCTACTGTCCCGGCTCTCTGCAGGAGCTCATACAACACCTCTTTTCCTAGGGTGAGCCAGAACAAATCAACAAAACCATTGAGCTTTAAGGTGCAGCTGGTCTTTTCCCCCAGCATGCTCCTTGATGCAGGGAGAACACAGTCCAGTAGGCTTTACTCCAGCCACAGCCAGGACTGGTGATGCCCAAGCCAGCTGGAGTGTGCTGGGACTGGTCAGCGCTGTCTGGTGGAGAGACCCACGAGTGTGACTGACCTGTTCCTCTTGCAAGGATAAGCCCAGGCACCGCCTAGAACAAACATAACCTTGCTGCGCCCAGAAACTTCCCTCCGTAAACAAAAGCTTACGGCCAAGTCAAAGAAATTCAGATTCCAAAAAGAATCAGCCCTGGTGGGTCAGTACCATGGTTTCGCTGGCGACACTGGAGCAGCCTTCCACCAGCCTGAATGCCACTGTCCCATGAGCCATGGGCACCCGTTGTCACTGATGAACGTTGATCATGCAATGAGTAGTAACAGAGTTGCTCTGTTGGCACTGGACTGGCCTCTGAAGTTTCCTCTTTCACTGGCAAGGCAAGGGCCCAGCAGGCTGCTTCACAGGTGCTCAGTTCTTCCATCGGATTTGCTAAAAGAGAGAAGGAGACATCACTAACATCAGTGCCGAACACAGACCCCTCAGGGGACAAGTTAGCAAGTCCCAATCCCTGACAAGGACAGCTAGGCCGGAGGGTGCTATTTCTATCAGTTTCACCCCTCATTCCTCCCCTGAAAGCAACCCCAAACAAAGATTAGCTTCCCAGCAGGGACAAAAGTATGTAGGGCAGTCATGCCCTTACACCTAACCTACAGCCCATGCTGCTGAGAGTCTCTGGAAGAAAAAGTAGGTGTTTCTTACCATGTTGCTGAGAATGCTGTTAATCTTCTCTTCTTCCACAGAGCCTCGCTCCACCTTGCATTTATACGCTGTCAGCTGGATGCGATCCTTCAGATCCCTGTACGTCTAGATAAACAGCAAAACCAGCACCCAGTGGGGTGAAGAGGACACTTGCACAGTCAGATGGTGCCTGGCAGATGAGCGGGGCAACTCTTCAATCCCCCCTCAAGTTCCCACTACAGCATAATTCTACAGCGGAAGTGCTAGGAGCCACTCTTCTGGCTCACTTGGATTAACTGGGAATCACATCACTGCTCCCAGGCCCCGGGGATACACAAACACCACCGGGTGCCTGACACCAGAGGCACATGGCAGAGCATGGGAGAGCCAGGGGGAAAAAGCAGGCTCTTTGTCCCACCTCTTCACAGAGAGCAAGGACCTACCTCAATGACAACATCATGGCACTTGTACTTGGTGGCGAGGTTCAACCGCGTCTCCACATCCTCCACTAGACGCACGTACTCCTGCAGCACCTGGGAGGCAAGGAATTGTGTCTCAGCTCCCTTCCGCAGGTACCTCCTGCCTCGTTCTCTCACTCCAGTCACAAAACCTTCCAAGGTTGCTGGTCACACAGACGTGACCCCTTCCTTCCTAAGGCAGCAAGTGACCAGGTCAAGACTGCTCAGGACCCCAGAGGCAGTAACACTTTGCTCACAAAGCTCAGAGTCCTAGGTTACCTCGTTCCCATGGATCAGGTTAACCACTGCCAGCCACATTAAGCATAAGAAAAGTTAATGTACCAAATGAAGGTGGCAGTGCAACGTGGGGAGAGCCCCCAGGCAACTTCAGGACTGCTGTCCCCCTTGCAGTCAGACCGAGGGGGTCCTCGTTACCACCCACATTCCTGTTGATGCAGCTCAGCAAGCCATTCTTCCACTCCCAGCTAGGAGTCAGCTCACTTGGGAATCATTCACACCCCAAATCCCAACAAGAGCAGGAAAACATAAGCAGTAGTTCCTTGATGACCTGCACAGGAGCATTGTTCCTCTGCAAGATCTCCACCACCCGGTGGAAGCCAATAGGTGCCTTCTTCTTGGTGTAGCCCAGCCAGTTCTGAAATGAGAGCCAAACCCTACGTTAGTCCTTAAAGGACAATCCCTCCAGCCACAGGAAAATGTTTTTCCCCACTGCCAGCAGTGTATGCCACCAGCCACAACACGCACCACTGGCAGAGCCCTTCATGCAGTGGTTGGGCGCAGGTTGGCTGCGAAGCCTTTGGTAACAGAGCAGGAGGGCAGGCCCCTACCCTGACCTTGTTGCAGCCAAGCCAGGCCCAGCGTAGGTCTCAGGCAGGGAGAGGAGGAACGATTCCAACACCCTGCAGCAGAGGTGCTGGGCTCTGCTTGAAATAAAATCAGTCTGTCCAGTAACTCCAGAACAAGCCAGCTATCAGTTGTAGATCTCAGTACTTGGAACTGAGACCCCAGCAAGGCTTTCTGCAGCTCACCTTGGTGGTGAAGAGGGCATCCACGTCATTCCAGGCTCGCAGCTTGGCACGGGCAGCCAGAGCAGTCAGCACATACTGCTTATCAGGAATCTGCAAGGCAGAAAGCTGCAGTCAGAGTGCTAGCACAGCTCAGGGGGCCTGTGTGGGTGGGACAGGAACAGCATCTGCTCCCAGCCCTGTCAGGACCCACACCAACAGCCAGGCAAGGAGGTGAGATGCTGCCTGAGGCCAGGGCCTTCACTGCAGAGAGCAGGAGGTGGAGATTTGCAAGTGCTGCTGCAGCCAGGGTGCACCCAGTGAAAGCCTCCACATGGCTCCCACTTGCCCTTCTGAGCCTCCAGAATGGCCCTGCTGAAGGAGCCCCTCAAACTCCTCCTACC